TAATATTATTGAAAGTCACAAAAACAGAGGTCATATAATAAGTTATCCTATTAGTTCTATTGATTATTATTAATAGAATTAATGGAATCTAATTACTTTTATTATTCTTAATAAATAGAATCAATAAAACAATAAAGAATAAAGATCTATATAAAGAAACAGATTTCATTATAATATAAAGTTTTGTACTCAAAAACAATTATTAGTTTTATTACTATAATTATAAGAATTGCAACCAGTTATAATCTTATTGAATTCCTATTTGAAGTCTAGTCTAAACTACCTTAAGAGATCTCTAGCCACTTCCACGTGACCTAGAGGCAGCTCCCGTAACAGTAAGCAGTTAAGTAAACCCCCTCGGCTTACACGATAAGACTCGAAACTCACTATAAGAGCTCCGGACTGTATATATTAATGAGTCACATGCTAGACTAAGGTCCTAGAAGCTATGTGACTAAGAAGGGAACCTGAAAGGGACCAAATCGTTACAAATCCTCCTAACATTATTTCTATAAGTTATAATATCAAGGACTTATATTTATTCTATAATCTATATTATAATACAGATACCTCCATAATAAGGAAGTACTAAAAATTGAATATAAAGTAAAGGAAAAATCTAAAGAGAAAAGGCTATAAAAACAACTATACAAATACTCAATTGAAGAATTAAAAGAAAAGATTGAAAAAGAAAAACTGGAAAATAATTCAAATAATTTAGGATTGGAATTAAAGGAATGTATAGCTTATAGAATAAAATTGTATATAAAATAATTAAAAAAGTATTCGAGTTCCTTATAAGTTATATTGTAATCATTCATTATATATATAATACTTGTTTAAACCTCTAAAAAGATTTTTTCAATTTGAAATATGACTTATCTTCAAGCTTGATCTTTGAAGTTATGTTTTTAAAGAAACTCAATATTTCTATAAGAATTTCTATATTGGTTGGTTTATTATGCACCCACGCGGCTACGATGATAAATACTTGATATCAGATCTCTGGCACATGGCCGGGGGTGAAATATTCTGGTAAATGAAATTTGGCATCGTGCCGCTGGCCTTGTTCACGTTGGTTCAGATCGAATGCATCCTACTTGGGACGGGGATTCTCTAATGTCAGGTACAGAAAACAATTAGGAAGCAAAACAGACTTCAATCAACTGATACAGTACAGCATATTGAATCAAGGGCCAGACCTCGAGTTTTGATGTCTCTTCTTGTGGGTGATAATAGCTCCTAGCTTTGAATTCGATCAACTGCTGAACGAATGAATGACGGCTCCTAAAGGGAGATTACCCAACTATTTTGCCCCCCAAATCATAATATTCTACCCGCTATCTACCGACACTTGCCTGCTGAGAGGATTCCAACTCTGTTATGTTGTGATTAACAGTTCGGCCACTTGTGATGGAAGTCGCGAGTTCTCACATAAATTGGCCAATCATGTCAGTTTCCCGATTTTCTGCCATGAACGATATATACACAGGTGTGCGTACAATTTCCAGTCTGGTTCCTCCGCTTCCGTATCTCTTATATACCACCAGTACCATAAATTCCTGAAGCTGCAATCTACTGGCTCTTCTCCAAACCAAGCTTCGCAGCCAGCTCAATACCCTCCACCACCTTGTCAGGGGTGCTCAAAAATGGCGAGTGCGAAGCGGCAATGCTGAAAGTCGTGATATTACTTCCCATAGATGCTGCAATGCCTTGCTGCACTGGAAGGGGAATTGCCTTATCGTCCTCGCAGAATATGTAAGTGCATGGCATGTGGTTCCAAGGCTCGTGCGTTGATTTGCCACTGAAGACGGCAGAGGAGGTATGTGAGAGTTGCGCAATCCATTCCTGTTGGTCTTCCGGTGATAGGTCGTGGTAGAAGATATCCCCTGGTGTGTCGGCATAGCAATAGTCGCCCTGTGAAATTTTAATAAAAGAATTGATACTTTGAAAGTACTTATACCTTGAAGTTCATCCAAGGAAGCGGGTTACCTCCGAGAGCAACAAGAAGACTGACGCCCTTCGGTAACGCAAATGCACTCAAGTAAACAAAGTTGATGACCCCGCCTTCCTTCCCATCACTCTTCCTCTGAGCAAAGCCCAGGCCTTCGACAGCACAAGATCCAACGACCCCTCCATATGAGTGAGTAACGAGGACGACTTTCTTTCCTGCCTCGACCAGCTTCTCAATGGCAGCCCGGGTATGAGCAGCATCGTCAGATAGGTCTTTATTTGGGGGCTCGGCTCCAATGGATGGCAGCGCTACAGCTTCAGTTGGATAACTTAGGGGCTTAAGTGATTCTCTCACAGCATCAAAGCTGGCAGGAAAGTGCCATGCTCCAGGCACGAAAAGGATGGTTGGCTTTTCAGTCGACATTTTGGATAGATCTGCAGATTACTACCAGATATGTCTACTTCTCTAGATTAGCAAATGTTTTAGGATCAGGAGAAAAAGGAAGCAAGAGATCGGAAGTTTGACTGTCTCCAGATATGAAGCCAGGCCCGCTTCCAAGCCAAGAAACCCAATACGAACCAGCTGATTTTACTACCTGTTTTCTATTGCACCACTACGAATTCAATGTGGAGTCTACTACATAAAGAATACTTGTACCAAAACAACCGACTCAATGAGAGCTTACACGCGATCAACAACTACAAGTCTAGATCCTTCTTTTTGACGCTTCTTACACGCAAGCTCAAATTTTTTTACAAACTAGCTATACTTACAATCAAATATACTCCACATAGCTCGCCAGCTGATATCTCAAAAGCATAAACCAGCCAGAAAGTCCTCCTTCATACCCCTCAGTGGAAAAAGTTAATTCAGTGGATCACGGCTTGTTGACAGAATCGTGAAACACCATAGATAGAAATGCCAGGGATTCTAAGCTGAAAATAAAAGAACTTATACATACCATAAGAAAGCAATGTTTTTCAATGGTTCAAGCTAGGGGGTGGTATACAAAATACAGCATTGCCAAACATTTGGTGTCTTGACGGAACTGTTTGGCCTACTGCGAAGTACGTACGCACGATATGAAAGGGACTTTTGTGAGTCATGAGTCATGAGTCATGACGCTGATAGCCCGGTCCACACGGCACAAATTCATCCTTCTTTCGATGATGGGTAATGGGCAGTAGCAGGGATACAGTGACATAGACATGGGCAGGATCACTCCAGAGGAAGAAAAGGCCAAAGAGTCTCGTGGTTAGGGTTGGGCAAATTATATAATTTCTGTGTTATCTATCACCGCAGAACACGATTACTCATCCGGGTGAACTCCGGGGACGCCAAGGCCTGGAACCTCGGCGTATATCAGGAAGTTGGTAATAGCAAACCTTAGATCCAAGGACTACCGGCTTGGTTTACGGCAAGTCCATAGTTTATGAGTTTACAAAGGAATAAAGCAATTAGGATTTATAATATCAATATTAGAAGAGAGTCAGATATAAGGGACCAAATATAGCCTGAATTAATCAGAGTATAAGATATTCTTATATAATCCCTTACTTATTCATTCGGCGTATCTCCGGCATATTCCCTACTATTGAACCCTGACATTATTATACTTTTTTGAACATTTATCAAATATTATATCAAGATTATACATATATTTTTGTAGCTAATCAAAGCATTAAAATAATTAAAAGTAGGGTGAATTCGAAGGCATTCTCTAGTAGGTGGTCAAAAAAAGTTCATTACGCGTTTAATTTTTTCTAAGATTCTATTTATGTCTATTTTGTGATTTAACTCATATGATTATAAGAATATAATCTTCATAGATGTTTTCATCATCGAATAATCCAATCAAAATCCTTTAAAATATCTTCAAAAAAGAACCCACTCAAAAAATCGATATATAAAGTCTTTGATCAATATTACATATTATAATTTTTTAACAAAGATAACAAAAGTAATATGCTATATATGCTCAACCCTACTTGTGGTGTCGCAGTTATGGTTGTTCGCGTGTGTTAAAGTGGCGATCACTGTGTCCCGCGGGGCTTTCCAGGGCCTGACCCACCAAATGTCAATTCCTCTCAGGGGAGGTATGATTGGGACATGGAAGCTAAATGGGTTGCTTTACTTCTATTGCACAGGACTCGGGAGTCTGTATCAATACCCAAGAGCGGGAATAGATTAGCGGTTGATAGAGCTCCGTGCGAAAATAGTCTCGGTCGTGCATAACGCTGCGGAAACTACTGGCTGTCAGACTAAATTCTGCAAGGAACATCCCTAGGGTACTTGGAAAGCTACTGGCCAATAGGTGAAATATAAAAGGGTTGTTGTCGGTCAATCTAAAAATTTGAGACAGTTGCAAACTTTGTTCACTTATTGTTCCTTTTTCTCCATTATAAACATCCACAATAGAATTCAGAAGGTCAATGCTCTACTTAAGAAACAAATGAGACTTAGCCTTCGATGAAATGTTTGAAATGGAAGTGCCACTGAATTTTATTTTGATTGCATTGATGGATTCGTGTAAGTGAGGTCCTCAATAGTATTTTGGCCAATTCTACCTGTCGAGCCTTTCGGAGACTTACTTAGCTGCTGCTAAAGAGTCGCGCGTCGCTTGGAAAAGGTTCAGGCGCCATGTCAGAATCACGTGCAGTGGAGTCACATGGCTGACATCCACCACCTCTTTGTGTTATTGATTGGCTGAAATATAGATCGTGGAGCGACAGGGACTACAAGTATTTATCCTTGAGCCCAAGTATGTAGTACGATAGCTGGTTCGCACACGCTCGCAGATTACTATTTCCTTTTGTTCCTGTGGTACTGTAGTAAAGCTATCAACCCTTGTTCCTAACATAAGATCATAAACTCTGTCACAAAAGCCCCATAGTCGGGATCACCCAAGCTTAGTTTCGAAAGAAAGGGGATAGATATCAGAATGTTCTGTTCTTCGTAGTAGTTCACGCCAGATTATATATCATAGAAATCATAGTTTCTACTTGATCAAATCAATACCGATCTGATAGGTGTTGAAACTGTCGAAATGGCGGAAGTGGTCCTCATAGACAACCGACAGTCTGAACTCAGAGCTACAAGTGTCGCAGTCGTTTTGCTTGCAGTTGTTTTTGTTGTACTTCGATTCATATCTCGGCGGATGAACGGGATTGGAATTGGGAGTGATGATATTATGATATATATTGCTTTGGCAAGTTCAGCTTACTGCACCTGTTTTCCTGTAAAACGAGAGCTGACTACTTCCAGTTCTTTCTCTTCATGGCTTTTGCAACATGTATAATTGGTATGTTTCTCTCAAACTGACATAAATTCCAAATCGCTGAGACCTTTGAAAGGACTGTATTTTGGACTGGGACGACATACGGCAGCGCTGAGCACCCCCGAGATTATATCATACGCGAAGGTGAAGATATTCATAAATGCTCCTTGAGATATCATGTTAGCTGACATAGACATAGTCGCTAATAGCATTTGAATGTCTATACGTCACCTGTGTATGCTTCACTAAGCTATCGCTGCTATTGATGTACCACCGCATTTTCCCAGTCCGCAGTATTAAGATCGGATCACTCATCCTTGGCGGCCTTTCCGTGGCATGGTGTATCTCCATCATTATGGTGTCGGTCTTCCAGTGTGTTCCAATCCAGAAGATCTGGAATCCTACTCTTGAGGGTCATTGTATCAATCTGAAGTCATCTTTTATTGGAAATGCTATCCCTAATATCTTGACCGATGTGGCGATCTTGGCGTTGCCCATGCAGCAAGTCTGGGGTTTACACACTAGTATCATGCAGAAGACACACATCACATTTGTCTTTTTGCTCGGAAGTTTGTAAATTATAATCTGGTGCATCCATCTAGATTTGTTCAGCACTAACGATATGGCCAGCGTTATTTTCACTAGTATTTACCGCTTCACGACTCTTTTCCAATTTCAGCCTGCAGACATCACTTGTACGTGTCCTCGCCAAAACCATCCAGTCAGTGAGCAAACGAACCGGGAGCTAGAAGCTAACAACTTGACTACTTCCAGGGACACTAGCAACAGCGGAAGTATGGTGCGTAGTCGAATCAGCCTCGGGAATAATGTCCGCCTGCCTGCCAACCTTGGGCCCTCTCGTCCAATTTTCCGCTCGAAAGCTCGGTATAACAAGCGTTTTAACTCGGTCATCGCAAGCACGCACTTCCTCTGCGGGTCCACATTTACAAACAATCGGCGGATCAGGTGGACCAAAGAAGAGCATCAACACTAGTGGGAAGTTCGACAGCTCTAAAAACATAAGAGAAGGCTCAAGGCCGTTTCGTAGATTATCTGCGGTGTCCGGAATTAGCGACGAGAGAGGGGACTGGAAAGGGGGAAGTAATATGAGGGCCACTGTGAGGACGCACGATGTGGAGAGTGCGAAGAGTTTGGGGAGTGATGAAATACCACTGAATAATATTGTTGTGAATACGGAGATAGAGTGGACTGAATCCGGATCAGGGAAGACCAGTAAGAATATTGATGAGAGAGATATGTACTAAGATGACGTGAGTCGTTAAATTTTTGTATTATGAGCATAATCTGCAGTGATCGGGGAAGGCGTTCTTTGAGTTGGACTCCAAAATTAGTAAGCAATCAGGATATATCAAGTCTCATTGTTTGATTAGGAGCTTCATAGAAGAAGACGATATCATGTTGCCACGAAGATCTTACTAGTCTGATAATTATATTGAGGGCTAAAATTCATCATACTACAAGAAATATTTCAAACTACCGAATACTAGCTTCTCCTCAAGGTTTTGAATAGCCACAGGGCCTGAAGCCATGAATCTAGAAACAGTAAGGAAGAAACACCTTAAATTTTTGTAAGTATAATTTTCTAACTATTTTTTAAGGAATTCTTTAGTAGTTATTATTAGTGGTGATTTATTTTGATAAGGGGTATTACGTGTTAAGGTACGGATAAAGACTTATATTGTATTATAAGGATAGAAGAACTATAGAAGGAAGAGACTCTACTTATAAGAAGTAAGGTGCGCTAGTGGTGAGAGCCTTAGGCACGAAGGCAACTATAGAACAGGTAGTTGGCGTCGTGATATTACGGGAGCTGCCTCTAGAGTTATATAGAAGTGTTTTTAGAGATTTCTTACAGTAATTTTAAATTAAATTTTAAATAGAAATTCAATAAGATTATAACTAATTATAATTCTTATAATTATAATATAAACTAATAATTATTTTAAACAAAAAGCTCTATATTATAATAAGACTTATTCCTTTATATAAATCTTTATTCTTATTTAAATAATCTAAATAATCTATTTATTATAATTATTTATTATATAATACTTATTATTTATTTAATCCATATTTATTTTATAATCTATAACTATTATTTATATTAAAAGATTAGGTAGAAGAGGCCTCTATATTAACTATATTACTACTGTTACAGGAGCTGCCTCTAGGATTATATGAAAGTATTTAAAGATCTCTTAAAATAGTTTAGATTAAACTTTAAATAGAAATTCAATAAGATTATGATTAATTATAATTCTTATAACTATAATAATAAAACTAATAATTGTTTTTGAATATAAAGCTTTATATTATAATAAAACCTATTTTCTATATAGACCTTTATATTGAAATCAACTAATAAGTTAATCAATAAATTGATTAATAAATCAGTTAACTTTTGATTATATAATACTTATCTTATAATTCTTATTATTTTAACTTATTCTTTTATTCTAAAATTAATTCTTTAGAATATTATTAATTCTGATAAAGCCTTTTTTGTTTACTATATTCTATTTTTTCTAAAATCTATTATCTTAAAAACTATATTTTATGATTTAGAGTATTCTATAACTAATATTATATATATATCTAAGGTTTTTTTAGGTATTTAATATTTCTTAATATATGATAATTAAATCATTAAGGTTTATAATATTATTATAATTTATATATTAGTGATTCTATAATTTATTATTAATTTATTATAATATTATCTCCTTTTTAGTTTAATGTTTATTCTAAATATTTATATTGTCGTAGGTCATAGGCTAATAATATGTAATATGGAAGCTGGCTCTGGTTAACGACTAAAATGGATTATATAAGCAGTGTGACACGTGATATTAAAGAATCTGTATTGAATAGTGATCTCTCTTATTTTACATTCAAAAGGAAAAAGACCTCTTTTTATGCTTTTTCCTACTAATTTAGCTTTTCCGCTTTCGTTAATCTCTTATAGATCTCTTCCTAATCCGTCCATTCTTTCGAAATAAAGCCCCTTTTTGTTTTCTTTATTTTACAGCCGTTTTCGTATTTTATGGCTGTTTTCGGATTAATGATTGTTTTCGGATTAATGGTCGCTTTCGTAAGCTTATAAGCGACGATCATATGATCTGATTATATAATAAGCTAATATTAGATTGAATGCCTTTAAAAAGATATATATATTATATTATTTTTTAATTAAAACAATATATATTAATATATTTTTCTTTTATTTATTTAAATGATTATAATATTTTCTTTTTTATTATACCTACTATATAAATAGTTTTTATTCACAATATTCTCAACTTAATTTATTATATTAAACATTCTAATATTAAAAGGAATTCTTATAATTTATATATTAAATTTAATCATTATTATATTATTAATAATAATTTATTATAATATTATATTAAATATATTCATTACAAAAAAGGTTATTACTATCCTAAATTAAAAATACTTATAAATTATAAATCCTTAAAGTAATAATAAAAACTATTATACTTAAAAAAAAAAACTTTTATTTAGTTATAAAAGATTAATATCTAGATTTTTTGATTATGTAAATAATAAGAATTTCTTTATAAATATAAAAAGAAAATAAGTTATTAAGATTTTTATATATTAAAAAAGCTTAATTTAATTAAAAAAAAATAATTAAAAAAGAAAAAATTGGAAAAAAATATATAAAAAAGGAGTTAGTAAATATTGTTGCTATATTTATTTCTAATAATTCTTTTTTCTTTAATTTCTTTGATTTTTTATTATCTTTATTATTTGAAATAAAATTTAAGGTTTTATTGATAGATATAGGTACTTTAGGTGGAATATCTATAATTTCTCAAAATAATTAAAATCTTTTTTAAATTTCTATATATTTTCTGAATATAGATAGTCTAATTATTTAATCAAACATTTAATTTTATTTCTAATATATTTATAGTTTAATATTGTTTTAATATTATATATAATATTTAGATTAATTAATTTAATTTTTATAAATAGTATATTTAATGTTTTTAATAATATTAATTTAAATAAGAATATATATAATACTAAATAAATATTTATTATATTTAATAATTTCAATTAATAATTAACTATTCCTATTATCTTATTAATTTTAAATAATCCTAATTTTCTATAATCAAGTTTATTATTTAATTTTTTAATCTCAATATTTTATTATAGCAAATAAACTTTATTCCTTTTTTTAAATATAGGTTCTATACTATGTTTTATATTATAATATATTATTATTCTGGAAAATATAAATCTTAAATCAAAAACTAATTACTTCTAAAGATCTTTTAATTATTCGATTTATATTATTACTGATTTGATATTGATTTCTTATAGTATTAGAATTTTATATATTTATAAATTGAATCTAAAATTAGCTTATACTGGAGTGATTTTTGTAGTTTCTATTTCTAATATATTATATATAAATTATATTATAGGTAATAGCTCTACTCAATTATTTTATTAATAATTTATATAATATTTAAAATATACTTTTATTATTTAATTAATCCTTTTTGTTTAATTATTTGTTTGTAGGTAGAAAAATGTTAATAGCTTTCTTTTAATATCTATAAGTACTAATAAGATAATTCAGAATTTCGAAATAAAGAGTTTATTTTGATTTAAAATTATTTTATTTAATACTTTATATATACTTATTATAATCTTAAGGAATATATATATTAATTGCTTAATATTTTATATTTTCTTGAATAATATTATATATATAAATTTTGTTAGTCTATTTATTATATTGAATATTGTATTGTATTCGATTTCTATAATAGAATTTTTTGAAAGTAATAATTTGATTATAAAGTTTTATATAATAAACTTCTATAATTAAGAAGGTATATTTGGGGTTTGGAGTTGATTATATAGTATATATTATAATGATTTGTTGTATATATAGGTATTATAATTTCTAATAATTTCTTTAATTATTATTCTTATTTATAAGAAATAACTGATTTTCTATATTTTTATAAATATTCTTATAATTCCTTGATATTTATATATTAATAATCTATATTATTTTATTATAAATTCTTTAATTATTTGGTTTGAAATATATACTTTTTCTTGAAAATATATAGTATTATTTATTATAATAAATTCTGGTTTTATTATTTTATATATATATATAGTTATAGTATTCCTGTTATAATATAATTAGATTTTAGTTTTGAAATAATTATTTTTTAATATATAAATAGCTATAAGTTATAATATATTGTAAATTAATAATTCGTTTTTTTTTCTTAAATATAATATATAATTCATATAACTTATTCTCTTAATATTCTGATTTTCAATTGAAAATATTTGTTTTAATGTTTTCTAATTTTTTAATATATAAAATCTTAAAATTATAATTAGTTATAATCTTTAATTATTTAATCTATTGTTTATTTAATTGTTTTATTATAATAAAATAAATCAAATTCTTATAATCTATATATATCTATATTATATATTTTTTCAAATAAACTTACCATTCTCTAAATACATTAATTATTATTAGTAATTCTTTATTATATATTTTATAATTTAATTCAATTAATAATAGTTTTTGGGAATAAAATATAATTAGTTATTATTTCTCATTTTAGTCTAATTGATTTAAAACTACTTCTATAATGAAATCTAAGAAGTCTATTTTTATTATGATTTCTTTTTTTAGATTGAAAATCGATAATATTGGCTTTTCTACTATTACTTATTTGAATATATTGAATAATTCCTATATCTTAACAATTCATTTGAAGTCTCCTTAATCTTTTCTGGTTAATATAATCAAAAGTATAATAATCCCTGAATAATTCTTAATAAATTTTTATAAAAATTAATAAATTCTAAAAAGAATTATATTTCCTTAATTATAATTGGCTGTTTTTATTTAAGTATTGTCTTAATCTTATCCTTACTCATCTTGAGCCTTTAGCTTGATATAATAAATTTCAAGAATTCTATTTCTATAATATAGAATTTATATTTACTTAACTTATATAATAAATTGGCCTTAACTAAATTTTCAAGAATATTATTAATATTCTTAATATATTAGACCTTATTATTTGAATATATTAGGATATTATTTAAGTAATATATATAACAAATATTCAGATATTATAATAATACATTATTTATAAATCTTATGAAAATAATTAGTATATTAGTTAATCTAAATGGTATAATTTGATATTTATATAGTCTATAT